TGGTACCTCATTGAGCAAAAAACAAGCCGTGTAGTCACAGAATACTCGAAGTTGAGCCCAACGTTGGCGCATTAACTTTTAGAAAACGTAACAAATTCGCCCCGACTACTGCACAAAAGTTACAATGAAGTCTTCCTCGTGTCATCATACTTCTCTCACTAAAGCTTTGTGCTAATTGGTAATTAAGCTTTTCGTTTCACGATAACTTGTCGAACTGTGGAGGCTGCGGCCCCCGCGACCCAATAAGAGCGCCGGCGCAAGGCACGGGATACTACTCCATGGTCGAGGCCACGGGGACCTCATTGCCGCTGCAGCAACAGCGCCGTCCGAGACAAAACGTAGTCCAAGACTTCCTTTTAATAATTATACTAGTAATTAGGGGTGCGCGAATATTTCGAGTACGAATCGAATATTATACATTTAATATTCGTATTCGATTCGTAAACTAAGTCTCTGGTATTTTTCGAATATATCGTCTTAACGCGAATATTCGAAATTAATAGAATATTCGAGAACGTATTCGCAAGCGTAAGGTTTGCGTCCGCCTTCGGTTTCGGTAAGACCAATTGACAGCGACATAGCTGCATGGCAGCTTCAACCTAAACTGGTGGCGTCGGTGTCGGTAGCGGTAATCTGTGAGTTTCTGTGCCCTTATGACTCCTGACTTTTTAATTAACTGCTCACTTTCGCGTTCGCCCACCCGTGTTATGGCGGATGGAGGTGTTTGCGGGGAACCGTCTGCGAAGCGGAGAAACAAACGGGAAACGGCACCAAAAATAAGAGAAAGGAGCGCTATTTGGAAATATTTTGCGAGGGTGACGGTATCGACGGCGCAATGTATAAGGCATGCAGACGACGCTTAAAGCGCCCACAGGTACGACAACATCCCTTGTGAACCATTTCAAAGTACATCCTGCGTTGTTGAAAGAGTATTGTGGGAGATTACCGCTGGTACGCCAGGAAAAGATCAACCGACGCTGACGTACTTCGTGCGTCGCACGGGAGCCCCTGTCAGAAAAGAGGGTGCGATCGCTAAAGGACACGGTGGCCTCATGGTGGCGCTTGATTTACAGCCTTACAGCATTGTGGAAGACCGCGGCTTCAAAGAACTTCTAACAGAAGCCGTTCCCTACTATCGCCTACCGTCCCACATTACTCTCGCGCGTGCTTGTGCCACGGATGTAGGACGACACCCGAAAGAAGGTGAAAGCAGAGCTAAAATTTGCCTTTGGAGGCGGCACTACCACTGTTGCCTTCAGAAGCGACAGGTATACATCGCGCGCTAACGAAAGTTATGTGAGCTTCACTTGCCATCTACTCACATCAAAATTTATGATGAAGCGGTTCACACTGGACACTCGACACATGGCTGCCAGTCACAGTGCTGTGCAGCGGCGTAGACTTTCCATTTTCCAGGGGGGGGGGGGGGGGGCAGGGCTGAGAAGTTGCGCGGAAAAGCACCCCCCCCCCCCCCCTTCCACGGAAGCACGCTGGGATTCCATTTTTCATGTATTTTGTCAATAAAGGCAACGTGGGCATTATTTTGTTTACATGCCACTACTAGAAACTCATTACATGGCACGTAAACAGCGCCTCAGTAAGGATCATAGCCCGGGCCCGGGTGGGGGCTCCGCCCCCCCACCCCCCTGGATCTCACCAGGGGGGGCACGAGCCCCGATGTCCCCCGGTAGTCAACGCTTATGGTGCTGTGAATATCGCAACTATGCTGGACGAAATGTGCCGTCACTGGGAGATAGCCGATGAAAGTGCGTAGTTTATCGCAACGGATAACGGGCGAAACATCCGTGCTGCGGTAAGGATACTTCCGCGGACTAAAAGAGCGTGTTTCGTGCATACGCTTCAACTGGCGATTAATGGCGCGAGATTCCGTTCGCCAGGACTTGATGGGCTGTGCAAGAGAGTGAGGCATATTGTGGGACATTGCAAGCACAGTTCCTCAGCTCAGAAAAGGCTTGAGGAATGCCAAAAGAAGATGGAAAAGGACACACTGCGTCTTGCGCAAGACGTGAAGACGAGATGGGATAGTCAGTATTGTTATATCTGTGGCAGTGCTCGTGCCTTGACGTGCAGCGTGCGCGCGAGACTATCGCGTGAACTGACTGACTGCCTACCCGAGCGACAGCATGCAGCCGTGTTTTAACCGGGCTGATTTCTGTAACCCGTTTTTCTTGTAAATACACCACATTTATTGGCGACGAGGATGTTCGGGTCCACGGGTTGGATCATCGTCTGACTGCTGGGGGCTTGACTGGAGCCAAGGATTGTCCAGCCTCGGAATCCTGGAGCGGCCATCAAGCGGCAACCCCTCAGCGAAGACCATGAGTCGCATCGGGCACATCGAGTCTTTCGACGATACGACGAGCGACTGGCGCTCCTATGAAGAAAGACTGGCGTCATACCTCCTGGTAAACGAGGTTCCCGAAGGTAAGAAGGTCCATGCCTTCTTGAGTCTCATCGGTCCGAAGACGTACGCTTTGTTGAAGTCGCTTACGGCCCCGCAGTCACCGTCCGAAAAGTCGTTTACCGCGTTACTCAAGCTTCTGGGCGATCATCTTGCGCCGCAGCCATCCGTCATAGCGGAAAGGGCGAAGTTCTACAAGCGTTCGCAAGAAGAAAGTGAGTCCATCGCCGAATTTGTAGCGGTACTTCGAGATCTAGCACAGAGCTGCGATTTTGGAGGCTTTCTTGATGAGGCGCTACGCGACCGTTTTGTGTGCGGCCTCCGCCGAGAAGATGTGCAGCGCGTCCTCTTCACAGAAGACAAAAAGCTGACTTTCCAGAAAGCCGTAGAGAGGGCTCTTGCGATGGAATTAGCAACTAAAAGTGCAGCGTTAACGCACACCAGCGGTGCATCGGTCCCTAACGTCCACAAGGTTCGGATCGACCACAAAGCGCGGATCGACAAGCAAGTACCAGAGCAGTCAAGTTGTTTCCGTTGTGGCTCGACCAACCATCGCAGTGATGCGTGCCCCCACGTCGGCGACACATGTTTCAAGTGCAACCGGAAAGGGCACATTCAGCGCGCCTGCCGTTCGGGTAACAAGAGGCCGACAAAATCGAAACGACAAAGGCAGGTGAAAACGCTGACGTCCGTTCACGACGCGGTATCTCTGCAAGCGGTCAAGGCTGTGGGCTTGGAACCGATCACCGTACCCATAAACGTTGACGGTGTGAAGCTTACAATGGAACTTGACACAGGCGCAGCTGTGTCCGTTGTCTCCATGGCTGAATTTCGGAAGCTGTTCCCAAGAAAGCAGCTACAACCTACAACGCTGACACTTCGCACGTATACAGGAGACTTTGTGAGGCCGAAGGGTCGGGCCTTGGTCTTTGTGCAGCACAACGACCAAAGTAAGGAGCTTCCACTGTACGCCGTGGAAACCAAGGGACCGGCATTGCTTGGCAGAGAATGGCTGCGAGAAATTCGGCTAGACTGGAAGAACCTGGTCACTGTCAACAGGCTCGACACGTCGGAGAGTCTCAAACAAAAGTTGGGCGCCTTGTTGGAGAACCACAGCGACCTGTTCAAAGATGAGCTTGGCACCATTTCTGGAGAACAAGCCGAACTTTTTCTTCGTGAAGGTTCACACCCGCAGTTTCTGAAGGCTAGAAGCATTCCATTCGCACTGCAAGCAGCAGTCGAAATAGAATTGGCAAAAATGGAAAAGTTGGGAGTCATCACGCCCGTGGCTACCAGCGAGTATGCGACACCCCTTGTACCTGTAGTAAAAAAGGATGGCAGTATACGCCTCTGCGGAGATTTCAAGGCTACGCTCAATCCCTGCCTGGAGGTGGACAGGTACCCCATACCACGTATTGATGAGCTGTTGGCGGCCTTAGCTGGCAGACAAGAATTCTCAAAGATCGACCTCAGCAGGGCTTACCAACAGGTGGTTATGGCGGACAACTCAAAAAAGTTGCTAACGCTGAACACGCACAAAGGGCTGTACGCCATGAACCGTCTTGCTTTTGGCATCTCATCAGCACCAGGCATCTTCCAGAGGATAATGGATAATATGCTGAAGGGCCTGAAGGGTGTCAGCTGCTATCTCGATGACATCCTGATCACCGGAAAGTCGAAGCAAGAACACCTCAGCAATCTCGAAGCCGTCTTGTCGAGATTACAAGAACGTGGTGTGCGAGTGCGGCGTGACAAGTGCTCGTTTTTTCAGCACGAACTACGTTATCTCGGCCACGTCATCAACGCTGAAGGTGTTTGCGCATCCCCTGAGAAAGTGTCTGCACTACTGAATGCTCCTGCTCCGAAAAACAAGCAGCAACTGCAGTCGTTCCTTGGGATGGTGAACTACTACGGAAAGTTCGTTCCGCAACTTTCTACGCTGGCACACCCCTTGTACAAGATGCTGAGACAAGGAGAAGAATGGACGTGGGACGAAGTTTGCCAGTCCGCTTTTCAGAAAATCAAAGCTGCGATGACTTCCCCACCGATCTTAGTTCATTATGATCCCAAAAGACCCCTGCAGCTCGCCTGTGACGCTTCGCAATACGGCATAGGCGCCGTTCTTTCTCAGGTTTCTCCGGACGGAAAAGTTCAACCTGTGGCTTACGCGTCTCGTACCTTATCGGAGGCTGAAAAGAACTACAGTCAGATTGAGAAAGAAGCACTGGCCCTGATTTTTGGAGTTAAAAAATTCCACGTGTATATTTACGGCCGTTTCTTCACGTTGATTACAGACCATAAGCCTTTGCAAACCATTTTCGGCCCGAAAACAGGTATTCCAGCAATGGCTGCTGCACGGATGCAGCGCTGGGCAGTGACGCTGTCTACGTACAGCTACTCGCTCCAGTTCAAGAAATCAAGTGACAACACTGAAGCAGACTGCTTGTCAAGATTGCCACTTGACATTGTGGCAGATGAATCTACCGAAGGAAACGAAACTTTCTATTCTCTGCGTCTAGATACGCTACCTGTCACCAGCCGTGACATTGCTCGTGCCACACGCCACGACCCTTTGTTAAGCAAAGTACTCGACTTGACACACGTGGGCTGGCCATCGTCCATCACTGACAAGGAAATGAAGCCTTTCTTTGACAGACGTCTGGAGCTCACTGTGCATCAAGGGTGTCTGATGTATGGCATGCGGGTAGTCGTACCACCAAAACTGCGCAATCTCCTGCTTGAAGAGATACATCTGGGTCATCCAGGTATTGTCAGAAGCAAGGAATTAGCCAGGAGCTACATCTGGTGGCCTTCAATTGACAATGACCTGGAAGAGCAAGTGAAAGCATGTCAAGAATGCTATCAACAGCGGAACGAGCCAGTCCCCGCGCCCCTCCACCCTTGGGCATGGCCGACATCGCCCTGGCAAAGGGTGCATTTGGATTTCGCGGGTCCAGTCAAGGGGAAGATGTTTTTGGTCGCCGTAGATGCACACTCAAAGTGGCCCGAGGTCTATGTGATGGAGAAGACGACATCACAGCACACGATCCAACGTCTTCAGGACTTGTTTTGTCGTTTTGGTGTACCTGAGGCCATTGTTACGGACAACGGTCCTCAGTTCGTCTCAACAGAATTCAAGTCTTTTATTAAGAATCTAGGAGGCCGTCACATCTTGAGCGCGGCCTATCACCCGAGTACTAATGGCCTCGCGGAGAGGTTTGTCCAGACATTGAAGTCTGCTCTCCGAAAAGGACGACCGCAAGACTCCCTGGAGTTGACGGTACAAACGTTTCTTCTGACGTACCGCAATACCCCTCACACGACGACAAAAGAAACACCTGCCAGTTTGTTCTTAGGCAGAAGACTTCGCACAAGACTCGATGCCATTAAGCCTTCCGTTGGGGGAAGAGTAGGACATCAACAGTTCGTCCAGACCTCGCAGCGAAAGGCACGAACAAGGATTTTTAGTGTGAACGACAATGTTCTCGTGAGGAACTATAGAGGCTCCCAGAAGTGGGTTCCCGGCACAATTCTCAAGCAATCTGGCCCAGTGTCGTTCCAGGTTCGAGTCATGACTGCTCGGGGCATATATATCTGGCGCCGTCACCAAGACCAGATGCTTCATCATCGTGAAAACTCGATGCAAGCCACATCGGACGGATTCCTGCCCGACCTGAGGGATCCAGAGAACTGCGTCGACGAGCCTGTGGTCAGTGAGTTTGCAACCACCCCACAGAGGGCAACCGACAATCCCGCTGTGCAACAGCGCTACCCCACAAGACATCGTCGTCCTCGAGACAGATACGACGCATAACGTTTTCGGCATTGTGTGCAGTGTGTGTTTTCCTTTGGTTTCTTCAATTACGCCGGGGGAAATGTTATATCTGTGGCAGTGCTCGTGCCTTGACGTGCAGCGTGCGCGCGAGACTATCGCGTGAACTGACTGACTGCCTACCCGAGCGACAGCATGCAGCCGTGTTCTAACCGGGCTGATTTCTGTAACCCGTTTTTCTTGTAAATACACCACAAGTATCTAATGTTGTCTCGCCTTCTGGAACTCAAAGGACCAGTCACTGCGGAGCTTGCTACCTGGGAAGGTAACATCGATGGACTTGTTTCATCAGAGTGGAAAGATGATTCTGAATATGTACAAGCATTAAAGCCATTGTTTGATGCCACTGTTATTGACAGTGCTGAGAAGTATCCGTCCTTGTCCTCCCAAGTTCCTATGATTTTCGGTATGCTCGACTGTCTAGGTAACTGTGCTGGAGCATCAAAATTTCCCGCTAAACTGATAAGGTTCACAAGGCAAGGTTCCCTCTGTATGACGAGGACAAGGAAGCATGCCTTGCTATGTTCTTGGATCCACGCTTCAAGTCCAATATTTTAGAGCGCAGCTCTTAGGGGCCCGTTCCCGGCTTAAGCGGCGTCGGCGTCGCCGTCGGCGTAACCAAGGTCATCCCAAGGTCACGTGACCCCAAGGTCATCTCAAGGTCACGTGACCCCCTAAAGGTCACGTGACCTTGGGGGTCACGTGGGGTCATCTTGGAATCACGTGACCCCTCCCAAGGTCATCTCAAGGTCCCGTGACCCCAAGATGACCCCACGTGACCCTTTAAAGGTCACGTGACCCCCAAGGTCACGTGACCCCTCTGAGGTCACGTGACCCCCGAGGTCACGTGGTCTCCTCCCCAAGGTCACGTGACCCCTCCCAAGGTCATCTCAAGGTCACGTGACCCCAAGGTGACCCCCACGTGACCCCCCAGGTCACGTGACCCCTCTGAGGTCACGTGACCCCCCCGAGGTCACGTGACCCCTCCAGATCACGTGACCCCCTGAGGTCACGTGGGGGTCACCTTGGGGGTCACGTGACCTTGAGGTGACCCCCATGTGACACCCAAGGTCACGTGACCCCCAGGTCACGCCTCCCCGAGGTCACGTGACCCCCCTCCCCGAAGTCACGTGACACCCCCCCCCCCCCGAGGTCACGTGACCCCCCCCCCGGAGCATATTAAAGAATGAGGGGAGGAGGAGGAGAAGGAGGAGGGGTCTACCCTCCCCTCAGTACCCTTCACTCCTGCTCAAGAGCTGCGCTCCAATTCGGCGTTACAGGGATTTGTAAACGGCTTTCACTTTTTTTTTAAACCCACAAAGGAAACATTATTATACCTAAGAGCTATGATGCTCTAAGAGCTGCTGATTTTTGGGGGCTCAGGACCAGTCAAGCTGTTTCAGCAGCTTTTTAGAGCGCAGCTCTTAGGGGCCCGTTTCCAGCCTGAGCGGCGTCGGCGTCGCCGTTGGCGTCGCCGTCGGCGTCGCCGTTGGCGTAACCGCGCCCCTCCCTCTCCTCCCCTCCTCCTCCCCGTCCTCCTCCTCCCCCTCCTTCTCCTCCTCCCCTCATTGTGTAGTATGGTCCGGGCGGGTCACGTGACCTCGGGGGGAGGGGGTCACATGACCCGTTTCCAGCCTGCGGCGTCGGCGTCGGCGTTGGCGTCGGCGTCGCCCCTCCTCCTCCTCCCCCTCCGCTCCTCCTCCTCCCCCTCCTCCCCCGCCAAGGTCACGTGACCCCGGGGGGTGACTCCCCTCCCCCCACCGAAGTCACGTGACGGCCCGCCCGAGGTCATATGAACCCGTCCCCTCGAGGTCACGTGACCCCCCGGACCTCTGCCCTCCTCCTCCTCCCCCTCCTCCCCTCATTGTCTAGTATGGTCCGGGGGGGTCACGTGACCTCGGGAAGAGGGGTAAAGGAGAGGGAGGGGGAGCAGGAGGGGAGGTGGACTAGCAGGCATGATCACGAGGGAGGAGGAGGAATATACCCTACACTCCTCCTCCTCAAGAGCTGCGCTCCAATTCGGCGTTACAGGAAGTTGTAAACGGCTTTCACTTTTTTCCCAAGCCCCCACCAACACTGTACCTCATTGTTGGAAATAAAGCTATTATTATTATCATAATGTAATGCTAATAAAAAATAAAAAAAAAGAACAGCCGAAAGTTGCAACACCGTCACAAGAGCACGGCTCAACGCCGTCAGCAGATGTTTGGCAAACATTTGACCACTTAGCCAAAAGTGCAATGGAAAGCAAAGCGGTTTCAGCTTCTAAATGGGAAGTTGTAGCGTATGCGGAGGAGGCGCTGCTAAAGTGAGAGAGTGACCCGTGTGAGTGGTGACCGAGTCTGGCGAAGCTTTGCATCAAATACCTGGCAATACCAGCCACTTCAATGCCAAACCTTTTTTTTTTTTTTTTTTTTTTTTGTGGCTGGAGGTGTAGTTTTTGCTTGAAAGTAGCGCCTCCTACCTGACCATGTGCAGCAGTTGATTTTTCTGCATGACAACTTGTGATCTTCCCTACCACAAGAATATTCGTTTTTGTGTTACTGTTCTCTTTAACAGTAGTGTCTCACTGGTGTTAACAAGAATAAAAACACAAAAACGAAAATTCTAGTTGTAGGAACGACTACAAGCTGTCATGCAGAAAAATCAACTGCAGTTCTGCAGTTCAGAAATCAAAAGAAAAATCAACTGCAGTTCCGACATGTGAAAAAAAAAAAAAAAAAATGCCGTGAATAAATGCACCTGCCTTCGCCTATTCGATATTCGATTCGATATTCGAAGCTAACTATTCGTATTCTATTCGTATTCGAAAATATTAATATTCGCACACCCCTACTACTAATACTTTAATCGTACTTTGGAGGGGTTGATCCAGGAGCACAGGGTCGCACAAGGCAGCGATGCCCATACTTCGGAGGCTTGCGGTCCCAATCTGGGGCCCATTATTGCACATACTCGTGCAAAATTCAAGTTCGAAGAACACAACGAAATAAACACGAAGAAACAAGAGAAGAGGGGGTGGGGGAGTAATGTCAGAATCCATCCCACGTGCTGCACAGCCTTCAGGGTAGGTCTAAGGTCGTGGAAATCAGGGGAGAATGTTCGTGCGAGTTTGCGGGGCAGCTGTCTCCACAGTGCTAGAGCACGAAGTAACCACGAAGAACCACGCCTTGCCGCTCGGGTGAAGGGGGGCTGGAAACTGTAAAACTGATTGTGTCATGCTTCTGCTTGGACACCCTGCCTTCGATTTGGCTGCACCAGCCTAACCGTTGCAGAAAAGTGCAGGGCAGTGTACTTCCGGTTCTGTACTCGGAAAAGAAAAACGGTGGCGCGCACCGATTGCAGTTGGCGCAAGAGGTGCAGGTAAGTCGAACGCAGCAAAAAGTTTCTTCAAAGATGGCGCTTGTGCACACCGGTAAACAGCAAAACGTTTTCATTCAGAAATGAAAAGTAACGCAAAAGTAACCTGCGTTACTTCTTAGCGGTAGTGGTAACGCGTTCTTTTTATTTTGAAGTAACGTAGGTCTGTAACTCGTTCCATTTATTTCCAAGTAAGGAGTAGCGTATTTCGTTACTTGTAACGTGAAATGTTCTTAAAGATCTTTATGCGTTCCGCGTTTCGTGAACCCGAAAAGTGAAGCCTGGGTAACGAAAATAATCCCCGGAGAAGGGGAAGAAAGCGACAAAGGACAAACACAAATCTCCAAACACAGCTAGGTGACTGGTGAGCGACCGAAAAAATCCGCCTGGTCCGGGTATCGAACCCGGGACCTCTCCATTACACGTGGAGCGCTCTACCAACTGAGCTAACCAGGGGCTAGACGTCAGTTGAGCAAACGGGTTTTATCAGCTGCCACCAGTCTAACACCGACAAGGGTGAAGCTTGCAATTTAATGTTATAATTATAATGCAATTAAATGCAAAGGGGCAAGCGAGCTGGACAAGAATGACGAAAATAAACCCCGGAGAAGGTTTATTTTCGTCATTCTTGTCCAGCTCGCTTGCCCCTTTGCATTTAATTGCATTATAATTATAATTAAGCCTGGGTAGAACGACACTCATTGGTGTTTTCAGTGTTGGGAAGTACTACGTCGAGTAGGTTTAGAAAATCTGTGCTTTACTCGAAGTACATTACTTTACCTAAAGTTTTTTTTTTTTTTTTTTCTGGTACTTTTATAGGAAAGTACGATCCTCGACTTCAAAATACATTTCCCAAACTTGGTTTTGTTAAATTTGTATCACGAAACGATGCTTTGTCAACTGCGAAGAAATGCTGGGAGGGATATTCTACTCTTACCATAACACGTGAGCAGACGACGCATATCGATCCGCTTGTTCTAGGAGCGACTTTCCAGCCGCTTTTTGAACTCTCGTTACTTCTCGGTCGGTCAGCGCGAACGAGGAGGTTGAAAATATTAGGAGAGAACTATTATTCATAATGTAGCGCCTGAAAGTGTGGAGCGGAAAAAATAAACATTGAAGTCGCAGAAAAAGACAACAGAGCTAGGGGAAAGTCACAATCTTTTAAGACATTCTATTTTGTCTTTTCCTTCGACTTGAAAGTTCCTTTCTTTTTTTTTTTCGCATCACAAACTCAAGTGTCACATTAAGATTAATATATCACCAGCTCGCTCGCGCACTTATTTTTTATTTTATTTTTTTATTAAGGAGAGGGCATTTTTCTATGAGAGGATTGCTTGTGGAAGCTACGGTGCTGACGTCATGCTCTCTCCTATATGTACGTGTACAATTAGCCCCCTTGGGTGCAACAATCCAGTGTAAGCGGTGCCCGATTCAGAGGAGGGATTTCTGAATTTGGATCCCTTCCTTAAAATAACTGCTCTGTGGCCACTTGACTTTATCGAAAATTTGCCGCTGTTTTTGAAAATAGGTCATGCACCCCTGATTACCCCTGGGAACGCATACCTTTACATTTTTACTGTATAGAGCGGGGGGTGGCCAGGCTGACCCGGCCCAAGAGC